AATGGAAATGAGAGACATCTACAACTGAAATCGGCAATTACTTAGTTACCAACCCAATATATATTTATATAATTATTAATATATATAGTTATATTTATTACATAATAAACATATAACAAAAAAAAAAGCGTAAATGTGTTGCATTTCAATCTTTCGTCAAAAATCGGCACAAATTTTCAGGACAATCCAATACATGAAAGCTTTTGAATGTCTCTTAGAATTTCATTATCACTTTCTTCCATTGTAAATTCAAAGATAGGAAATATGGATTTGCGTCAAAGATGATGCGCTTTGATCAAATCGCAAGATATCTTCTATCAGAGAGAGAGAAAGAGAGAGAAAGAGAGAAAAGAAAAAATTGTTTATCATTTTACTGCTGCTTTCAAAGAATCTCTTGTACAACACATTAACAGTAACACACACAAAAAAACATCAAATCCTTCTTCTGTAGATCGTCATAATAATAATAATAATAATAATAATGAATAATTTCTTTGAATACACCTTGATCTACTGGACCCCAAGCGAGAAAGAGATAAAAAGTTTGAAATGACCAACAGATAAACTGGTGTCAAATGACGCCAATCGTTAAATGATCAGAATTGATATCAATTGTCCCATACAATTCGCAGTGAATATTTGTTGTGACGCAAATCATACACAACAAGGATACTTATATCGTCTATCAAAGCTTGATTCTATATTTATATGGCACTTGGATCATTTGAAGCTATCTTCGGTATCGTTGATGTTGCTGCTGTTGGGGCTGATGCTTCCTCAAAGCCAAGTTTTATGCGTTGTTTCTATTCTTGCAAGACTGTATCTCTCATTGATAAGTCGTGTTAGATAAAAGCTTATAGATTGAACACTACTCATATTCATTGAAATAAAATCAAATAGAAACGTAAGATATTGGATAAATGTTAAGAAAGAAAATGTTCAATCTAATGCAAGTAAATCTAATGAATACAACAAACATGAAATGTTGTATCTTACAGATGGCAAAACTGTGGACGATGGTTCACATCATTGGAACAACTTGCTGGACATGTTGCAAGATTACACGCTACACCTGGTGCTCGAGGATTGTTCTATTGTGGATGGGAAGGATGTGTGAGAGGTGAACGTGGATTTAATGCCAGGTAAATATTAGGTTATCCAGAAAGTTCGTGCTGATTTTCGATAGATGGCATATAAAGTTCTTTTACGAAAAACCTGAAAAGTTTTGCAAAAACACAATTTTTAAGTTACCTTCAAAGATAGAGAAAAATTGTCGAACAAAATGGTCAAATATACCCAAAAAAAAAAAAAAATGAAAAAACTTAATTACAATGCATTTCAATCTTCCATCAAAATCGGCACAAACTTTCCTGGACAACCCAATAAAATTCATTTTGAAATGTGAACTAACAACAGATATAAATATATAAATAAATAAGGAAGATAACTGATAGTTTTTTTACTTGATTATAGGTACAAGATGTTGGTCCACGTCCGTACGCATACAAACGAGAAACCACATCATTGTTGTGAATGTGATAAGAGTTTCAGTAGGGCAGAGAACCTAAAGATTCATGCTAGATCTCATACTGGTGAACGTCCGTACGTCTGTCCTGTTGAAGGTTGCAACAAGGCCTATTCTAATTCATCAGATAGATTCAAACATACCAGAACTCATGCTGTCGATAAACCATATTGTTGTAAAGTTCCGGGATGCCCAAAAAGGTATACGGATCCTTCGTCTTTAAGAAAACACGTTAAAACTTACAGGCATTATGTAAACAACAATGATAAAGTTCAAGATAAGAGTTTAGATGATAATCATTTACAAGATAAAACGAGATTCGATGCTACCTCACCTGAGAAACAAAACAGTACAACTCATTCTGAATCTGATAAAAAGGATTCCAGTATCGAAAGTAGCAACACCTCTTGCTCGAGTCCAAAAGCGAGCAATAGTTTCGAGGAACAGAAGAATTTTGTCGAATGGAACAACATGTACAATTTACAGGATCAACGAAAAGAAAATGATAACATTGTACAAAATTCATATGAACAAGATGTCAAGATTTATTCGAATTTATACGACGATAGTTACATAATACCAGATAGAATCCAAATGAATCCAATTTATTCAAATAGGATTGATAATACAATTATAAAAGATTGTTCCTCGATAATGTCTTCTCCTCGTACTAGTCCAGGATACGTTCCAGAAAAAATGACCGCACGAATTGGAATGCAATCGACACCAATTAAAACGGAAGATGAACCAATGGAATGTCAAAGTAAAATAAGTACAGTCGATTATAGAAATATTGATTCCATCGTTAATAGTACACCTTGTAAAAAAGATAACAACAACAAGGTGATCGGTTGCGATATTATAAGAAACTCTGTGATAAAGCGAGCCGAAGACGTTGTTAAGATGGAAGTAGTTGTCGAGAATAAATTAACGAAAGAAGAAACGAATAAAGATATTGTAGAAGAGTGTTGCTGTCGTCATAAATGTTGCGTTCATAGTAAAAACAGTATTTTGGAACAAACTAGAATGCTATCTGATTTTATATTAAAGTCGCAAAATCCTCTCTTTCGGCATCTTCTTGGTTCGGTGGATCTGCAATATGGTTTAGAAGACATATGGAGCAATATGGTTGACAATACCAATATTTGCGGACAAGATCTCAGAGTTAAAAATGAAAATATTACTGAAATGGAAGAAGATCTTCCCTTGGACCTTACAATTAGCAAATAATGGTGTATCTATCTAAAAGAAAATTTGTTCAACGAAAAAGTTTACATTTTAATTTGTTGTCTTTTAATGGGTCTTTAAAATTAAACGTATAACTATTATGAATATGTTTTTTACTCTAGAGTGTTAAATATTTAAAATTAACCAAAAAAAAACAAATTCGATTTTAAATTATCAAATAATTCTGCGAATTATGTAAACATGAAGTAATCAACAATTTTCTTCACTGTATAAACCACATAATCAATATGATTTTTTTTTTTTTTTTTTTACAATAATTCGAAATTAATTCTAATTATCGATACACTATTATTACTATGTTTTATACTTAAAAAGGCATACATATATATCTATATATATATATGTAATATATGTAAATAGATGGAAAATATATATATACATATATATATAAATACATATATAAATATTATATATGTACGTACGTAAATTCGTACAAGCGATCCACCCGAATTATTAATAAACAAAAGGAATGTAATTTTCCAATATTGGAAAGCGCATTTTTTTTTTCTACTCTTCTATAAGAAAGATATTGAATAAAAATATATTATTTATGTAAAAATTATTTTTATTGTTTTTTTTTTTTTAAATTTAACAAACACCCATCACACTCTGTTATTTTTATTCTTCTTCTTCTTCTTCTTCTTCCTTCTCCACAAATATCATCATCATAATAATTTTTATTTCAACGATAATGAAAAAAAAAAACACGACATTAAACAAATAAAACGATGCAAGCAAGCAAGAGAGAAAGAGAGAGAGAGACAGAACAACTTACAAGGTAATTCACATAAATCATATTTAGTAACAAAATGAATACTCATCCTATCATAAATTGAAAGCTTTTCTTTTGTTTTTGCTGCACATTACTCATTTTTTAATAATAAGACAGGGGACTTATGTAATGATAACACATATGGCACAAGTTGTTAACAAATGTGTTGAATAAAGTTATTTGGCAGCAAACTTCGATCGAATCGCAATAATTTGTATAACAACACTGTGTCGATATGTTATCCGATGTGATCAACATATCACAATCTGTCCAGTGAACGCAAACGCTCATTATTTCACAGTTTTCATCAGAATGTCTTTCAAGGTATACTGTGACTTATTAAAAGATCCGACATACCATCCTTAATAATTTTTAGACTCACCAAGTCGGCATTTATTGTATCAATTAGTTGAGCCATTCCCTGTTGTTCCATACTTAAATACTGTAATCAAAATAATCATTATTTAATAAACAAATCAATAATGTTAATTAGATCAACTTGAACAAATTTAACCCTTAACACACTTCTAGTGTGCCTCCCTTCTTCCCTTTATTCCAATTATAGAACAAGTTGGAGTTGCTAGTAGATTAACCATAATTAAACGTTGGTGTGTTGAGGGTTAATTGTTCAATTAATATCATAAATAAATATTAATAAACATACCGTTTTGATGTCATCTTGTGCTATCGGATCCATCGTATACCTTTCTTGATTTTGACTATCTATATGTCGTCTCATTCTAAGCTGTGATAACATTTCACTGATTCTTCCTTTAAATTGTGTCGGTGCACTTATCTGTGAATGCATTGTTTCAAATCTACGCGTCAAAGCTTCCTCCTCTGGTTGTAACGACAAACCAACTTTGCGAGTTATTTCCTGACGTACCAACACCTGTAAAATAATGTACAATTATTCAATAAGCTGTATTGTCAATAAATAACATTGATTTATATCATAATTAATAATTGTTCTACCCTACCTGTAATACCCTATGCTGTAATTCTAACAATATTCTCCTATGTTCTTTTAATTTTGCTTGAGTGGCAGTATGCTGCCTCTGTAAATCTTGAATTCTTTCTGCAGCCATGTCTAGAAAAGCTCTATGCCTAGCAGTCTCTTCTTTCTGACATTTCAGTCTATATTTCACTTGCTGAAAGCCTATCATTGGTACAGGAATATACATCTCTGGATTAGGATTGTCCAATTGAGCTTGTTTCCACAATCGTGGATCAATCGAACAAGGTGGATTATCTAAATATTCTTTCAATTGAGTTGGATCCAATTTAACAAATGGAAATACGTCCTTTACACCATTTTGAATAAGTTGTTGTTTTTGCATTGGTTGAGACAGATAAGCAACTAATTCATTAGCAGGAATTTTTCTTGAACTTCCAGTTACTCCTTTCTCAGAAATAAAAATGGACACTTGACATTTATTTTTTCCAGTAGACTTGATACTATCAATCATCACTGTCAAGTTAGGTTTATTTCCAAGGATACCATGTAAGAATGCAATTAATTGTTGTTTGCCTTCAGTTACCATCTTTTCTTTCTTACCAAAAGAAATGACAACCAATCCATCGTTATTATCAGCATCAGGAATACGACTATAGCCGATGGCCTTAAACCTGCACAATGGATTTTCTTGATTCAAATCAATTGGCGGTGCATTTACCGAATAATAAGCCTTTCCAGTACCCCATAATGCTTGAATGAGATTCCATCTAGCAATTGTATTATCTCGTTCGTCATTATAAAGCTGACAATTAAACACGGCGTTATAAAGTGCTTCAGAAATAGACTGTTGTTGCTGTTGTATTTGTTGTTGCTGCTGCTGTTGTTGTTGTTGTTGTTGCTGTTGTTGCGTTTGTATTCCACTTCCAAATCCAGTAAAACCAGAAGAGCCAAAAATACTACCTGTTGTTTGTGTACCAAAACCTGTTATAGCAGTTGTTGTTGTTGGTTTCTGACCGAAGCTACCAAAACCACCAATAGATGTGGAAAAACTTGTTGATGGTGTTGTACTCGCAGTACCAAAACCACTAAATAAACTTGGCGCAGAAGTCGTAGTCGTGGTCCCAAATCCACTAAATCCACCAAATCCTAATGACGTTGTAGTTGTCGTTGTACCAAATACACCAAAACCAGTTGAAGGAACAGGGGTGCTCCCAAACGTCGAAGGAGTTCCAAATCCAGTAGTTGTTGCTGAAGTTGTACCAAAAGTTGATCCAGTACCAAAACCACTGGTAGCTGGAGTACCAAATGCTGGAGTTGTTCCAAATCCGGTGCTAGGTGCAGTACCAAAACCTGTTGCTGCAGGTGTTCCAAATCCTGTTCCTGTTCCAAATCCGGTAGTTTGAGTTGATGGAGTACCAAAAAGATTAGAAGACGAAGTTGTTGGTGTACTGAATCCAAAAGCTGGAGTACCAAATCCTGTTATCAAAATTTATTTCAAATTACTTAATGGAAATCAATCTGTAATAATTATCGAGTTTCAGAATAAGAAGAAAAAATGACAAAAATATGAATATTCAATGTGAAGTTGACTAGTTTTTTTTTTTTTTAGATTTCACTAACTTTTGTTTATACGATGTCAATAAGGCATACATCCAACAAAAAAGTTTAGATTCTCATTAATGATAATCAATGTCATTTATTTATATTATTATTTTTATATGTATATAGAGAAATATATAATGAAAAATTGCAGAAAATTATAAATGTCAAAAATACACATCAAATAATTTATGCATCAAAGTTGTGAGAAGATCTATCTTGTTCTTTAGGCCAGATAAAAATATTTAAAAGGAAACAATGTCTTTTATGAGTCAACAAAATCAATTGCACGTAAGATTTGAAAATATTTCATTTAATTTCACATAATCATTTCATTTTCATATGAAAATGTTATCTTTATATTTTAGCATCCTAAATTTAAGGATATGGCACTTAATTTCTTTAAAAGGGTAACATCTAATAACCAATTAGTTCTAAGACAAATCAATGCTCCTTCATCTGACTTTTCTACTGAAACTATGGGTGAAGCTGGTACTACAGATCGGTCAATTGGAGTAAGAAACATTTTTAATTACAATTTTTCAATATTTGTTATACTATAATATTATTTATTATAATTCATTTTAGGATGTTACAGCAGAAATTATGATAACAACAGTTGGAAAAATACCAAATGAAATGTATTACTTGGAAGATACTGCACAACCCAACATACAAACTGCAGATCCAACAACTGTATTATCACATTCAATAACTAATATCATTCATACTACAATATCAGCAAACAATTCTACTATATCTGGACATACAACTCGTTCTGTTGTGTTTGTAATATTAACCGTTGCATGCTTGGTTCTATTATTTCTATGTTGCATTACAGCATGCATTATTTCCAAAACAAAAAGGAAAAATTACTTTTGTAAAAGAAATGATTTTGATTGTGATCCCGAATGTAATGGATTAAATCGGCCACTTCTTAGAACGGAAAAAATATCCGACACAACTAGTAAAACAAGTAGCAGCTATTTGAAAAAATAATAAATTATTGAAATATATTGAATCATAAAAAGTTTACAATGTTTTATACTAAATATGAACCAATTAGAAAAATTTCGCGCCAGAAATGCGAACTACCTTAACCTACAAAAATTGACACGTTTTGTATCATTTAAATACTCGTATCGTACTACATCTCAAGAATTATTTCATTTATAAAATAATCTTTCATAAAATAGAAGATAAAAAAAATAACAAAATAAAAAGATATTTGATAGACATAATTTAAATGTAATATCGCAAGCATGATATAACCTAAAAAACAGCATGAGTTACCTAGCTTAATTGGTGTGGGAGCTGCAGTAGCTGTCGAACCAAAACTAAAAGAAGAAGCTGGTGCTGATGTGTTGGTTCCAAATCCTGTTCCAAACGACATTTTGTGATAAATAATTCACAAATAAGTAAAAGAAGATATTATACGTATAAAACAATGCTTAACAACGATAAATCGCGCACTACTATGCAGTAACGACACCAGCAAATATGGCGGGATACGTTAAAAAAGTGCAAGTCGTGCTTAGTCGGTACAGATGCAACCAGATGGCGCAACATTCAAAATGTATATATATAGTACAGATGCAACCAAATGGCGCAAAATTCAAAATGTATATATATATATATATATACTTTATAAAATTATATTAAAAATATATATACATATTTTATAAAACAAATTATGCAATTCTATTATTTACAATGGAAAATTTGTAATAAAAGAAATTAATTAAAAAAATCTTATTCTTTAATTTAATAATAATTCAAGATCAGATTGCTAATATAATAGATTTCATATTAAATTTCAATATTAATAAGAACAATAATAATATAATTATTTTTTGTTTTCAAATTTAATTGAAAAAATGTAATTACGAGATATAGGGTGAAATAATATTGATTCGCAGGTACATGTACAGTTTTTAACGAAGTTTATAATTGAAAAACTTAAAAATAAATATCTTCATATACCAACGTACATATAAGATACTTTCTTTAACATTTTGATAATGCTATTATAAATATACAATTTGAGTATGTCATTTACGTGATCGTAAATAAATGAAACACAATAAAAAATATTGTGTTTAGTGAACACGATTACGATATAACGATATCGATTAATTTTTTTTTTTTTTTTTTGATAAAATTTCTAAAGATAGCGCAGATCCGCAGATTAAACGCGCATATTGCTGCTCTTGTGCTTATAGTTTACTTTTTAATCTACGTTATACGTATACATAATATTAATAATAATAATAACAATAATAATAATAATAATAATTTTCAACGCATTATAAAATTACAATCATAAAGGAAACACGTTTGATCATTAAACTAGACCAGGAGTCGGCAACCTTTTGAATCGAAAGAGCCAAAAATTACAATTTACCAAATTTCCAAGTTTTTCAAGAGCCACAACATTTTTTTTCTTGCCAACAATAAATAATACTCGCATAAATAAAGTTTTTTGATAAAAAAGTAAAACAGCTTTCGCAGCTTCACATCCAAAGAGCCGCATGTGGCTCGCGAGCCGCAGGTTGCCGACCCCCTGAACTAGACAATTGTCTAATGTGAGACAACAAAATAACAATAATAATAATATTGTAATGATAACGATGATAATATAATAACTTGCGAGAGAGAGAGAATTGCAGTTAAATCGTGTTGTCATGTTTTAAAAATGCTAAACGATTCTTTTACATTTTTTTAGTTAGAACGTTAGTACGAAATGATCAGAAAATGGACAATTCTTATTATATTAAATGATGAAATTTTATGTACGAGATTATGAATAACATTTGTTCTTGTCCAACACAAAGAAAGCTTTTAGGAAATCGAGAGCGACGATTGCACACAGGTATGTTTAATATTAAATTTTAGAAGGTAGCTTTTTGTCGTAAACATTTAGCCCGTTCATTCATATTGCTTTGATATTGCAGTTGATGATAATCTTGTAATCAGCCGATGTTGTCCGTATCTAAAAACAAGAAGTAAGAAACCATATCCTTGAAATGTAATGAAATAATTCTAAAAGAGTAATGCCCATTCATAAATAATAATGCAAAATGAAAAACAATTATTTCTATTGTATAAATATTATGAGATCAAAATGACACAAAACACACCTCATTAAGACTCCCAAATTATTTATGAATGGTTGAACTGTGTGAGCGTTTAAATCTCGTTAGTATTTTTGTATAATTAATAATTATTGATATTTGTAAAAATAATTAGTATAATATCAATCATCAATATGGAAGCATTAAATTGAAACGTTACAAAATTTGGGAGCAGACTTCATGAGGTTTACATCGATTAACAAATAAACAATAACGTGTATGATCTAACGAGATTTAACTGCAATTGCTGCTTCATCTAATTTATTTATTAGATAATAAACTATATTCGATGTGTCACAAGGACAGAGATTTGTCAAATAAACCTATCACATATCTTTTATCCTATATAATATATGTAGATTAAACTTTCAATTGCAAGAATAAATAAATAAATATTTTGTATATCTCTTCTGTTGAATTGTATCATTAAAAAATGATCGGATATATGTTATTTCTTTGGACCCGGGAATTTTTCACGTGGTTAGGATAATTACAAATTTACATTTAATGTAAAATTTGCGAAAAATATTGGACCTTCGGTTGCTTTCAAACTCGAACCTATGTTTCTCAATTTTTTCAATGTTTCTTACAGATGAAGGATACGTGTTCATTCCTACATTTATAATTGACCAAAATATATATATGTATATATATTTATGTATGTATAGATATCCAAAATCAATATTTCAAGGAATATAAAATATTCAGGATTTAGGTTGGTCCTTAAGATTGGATTCCGTAAAACGAAGTTTGTCGGATTATCAAAAAAAAAAGTTGTGCTATGATTCTGTATGCTCTTATTATATAATAATACTTTGTATCATTTTGTATTTTATAAGTAAAATCTTATAATAAAGGAACACTAAAATATTGCAGTCTTCAAAGAAAAAGAAAAGAGAGCGCGCGCGAGAGAGAGAGAGAGAGAAAGAGAGAGAGGAGAGAGAGAAAGAGAACAGTTTGAAATGGTCTAGGCCGACATTTGATCTGCTCATCATCATCGAATTAGAATCTTAAATGACGTTCAATCGAGTTTCCATCAACACGAAATTACAAATTCAATTCACGCGTATTTTCACGCGAGGTTTCGAATACTTCTGACGGTTCACATTTACACATTTACACAAATATAGAAATTTTGAATACGTTTTCGTTAATATTTGTACGAATCTAAGCGAATAAACGTCGATCATCGCATGCTTACTAAACTTTACACGATATATTCGAGAGACTTTCTCTTTTTTAATATTATTTTCCTTCTTTTAAACTTGATCTCATAAATAACAGTATTTTTTTTATTCGTGATACATGTATGAAATACTGTTGACAATGACTATTACGAGATACCATAGTCTTGGTACAAAATGTACACAAGACTTTGGTTTATTTGAAACGTCTTTAAAATGAATCAAGATTGTATTGTAATTGGAATTTATAAGTACGATTCTGATAACTCAAAATCGGAAGCGGAAGCTCGAGAGGATCTTGTATTAACAGAAATACCCCCACCGATTGCACTATCTGAGGTTCCCTCGCCGGTCACAAAATCAGCAACAATTAAGGAATCCTTTCCAATATTTCCACCTCCTCCTTTTAATAGGTCACGTTCGGCAAGCTTTTGTTTCAGATACTTGATTTTCTCTTCCTTCTGCAGTGATAAAGTTCAAAAACAAAAGAACATTAAATTATAAATAATATTATAATTAATACACACACAAACAATCAACACCTTACCTCAGCAATGAGTTTTTGTAGTTCATCATTTTCACTCAATAATTTTTGGTATTTTTCTTCATCCTCTTTTGACAAGCATACATCAGGATTATATTTCGATTCTGCCTTATCCCTGGGATGTCTAATCACTTCTATTACCTTTGGTACAAAGATCAACGCCATACTAAGAAAGCAACAAAATATAATTGCTAATGCAACGAAAGCAAAACTGGCATCTTGTTGACTGGCGATAACCATTGTAACAGGGGCTGTTATAAGACATAGTACAACTACGTTATAAATTGACATGCCTACATATCTTGAATCATTTATTTGTTTCACTTTGATACTTCTTGTTTCATATGCTAGGAACAATCCAAATACCAGAATAATACCTTTGTAACCATATAACAATCCTGGAACAATAATTTATACATTGTAAACTGTAAAATCAAATAGAAATATCTTGTATTTCTTGTATATCTTGTATATCTATACTAACCAAGCCATATGCTATTGTGTTCACTCTCACAATGTTCTAATTCCGGTCTTATTCTAGCATCATCGTCTCCAGTGGGAGGTGATTCCAATGGGAAAACCTCGATGTTTCTTTGTAAAGGATGAAATCCTTGCCACAGACCAAGAAGAACGATGTCCATCACCAATAATCCGCTTACCATAGTGTACAACTTCCATGGTTGAACCTTCTTCTGTATAGATGAAACTTTCTGTTTGCCTATGAACAACTAAAAAGAAGGAAAAACAGGTTAATGATATGAACGAGTAAATCAACATACATCAACGTACATATGTAAATGTTCAATTGAACTAATTAGAAGCACACCAAAATATGGTGTGATCATTACCTTTGCTTGATCAGCTTTCGTTTTCGTTGTGAGTCTATGAACTCGCCATACTTTGCTGAACATAGCACCGAATGCAAGAGTAAAACCTGTTGATAACATCCATGCTCTGGCTTGACAAACTGCTGGATATTCATTAGGTGAAACAAATCTACCATCAATTCCAAGAAGAAATACAGATATGAAACAGGCTATCACACCGACTAGCATGATCGTGTTACATACTGGATGAGAAGACATAATTACCCTACAAAATTAATGATTAGAGCATTGATTAAAGCAACATAACAAAAAATACTTGTAAATTGAATGTACAGTAAGACCCCGCTTAACGCTGTTTCAGTATGACGCGGTAGTATTGGGGTTCCCCTAAATCGCACACTGTATTGATACTTGTTGTTTATGTGTGCAAATAAAACGGCCATGCACCAACCAAAAGCAGTGCACTATATAACAACGGTGTCTTTTTCAACGCTCTTTTGTTCGTGTGTTCTTTTGTTTTTTTGTGTAGTCACAATACGAACGCATCTTTCCTGCGTCACAGTTGATTTATTAGCTGTCATCAACGTTACTAGGTACATAAAGATATGTACGTGTTAGGTTGCCACGTTTAACGCTGTTCGTTGGAACGTATCTCCCGCGTTAAGTGGGGTCTTACTGTATAGCTTTGCTTATCAAAGAAAAAATGCTTGCACACCTCCGATGTCTATTCCAGATGTTGAAAATAATCAATATAATCGCTATAACGATTCCAACAGACGATATAGTTCCCATACATATAAATAAAGGCAGTGATACCGTTCTTAGAATCGTCCTTACTATTGTTCTATCTTGAGGTACTTTTCCACCAATCCAACGCTCCATGTTTCGCCATGTAAGATTGTCACTTTGCGTATCATAGTATCCTAACTTAACATACTTCCCATCGATTACTTGCTCAATCTGTGTCAATGCTATCCTGTCACCTTGCGAACTAAAAGCTACGTATCCCTGTAAAAAAGACCCAAGACATTATTGAAGATAAATGTAATGATATATATGAGAGTGTTTCATTAAATGTGGCCAGCCACAACTTCAAGGATGAATTATTGATGGTTAAAAAAATCTGACCTTGACAATTTTTCATCAAAATGAATCACGAATTGAAGAAATATCCAAGGAAGAAGCGGACACATCATTTTTATACACCCTATACATTTGAACATTTTTTACATACGGAAACTCCGAGGAATTGCGTCGAGTTGATAGCCGAATAAATCTCATCGGCGATTTCCTTGTCAGTATAAGTAAAGTTCTTCAAGCTCTTGCCAAGTTTACTCAATTTCTCCATTGTTTTGTTAAATGCTAATCAATAATAACAAGTGTTTCTAGTTAGTAACAAAATTTTTGACTTCGAATATCTTTTAGCTTCTTTCATTTTGAGATTATTATTCTTTAGAAACAAATGACAATACGTGATCCTCGATTAATTGCATTTATGAGATAAAAAATGAACAAAGGTGAAACATGACATGCTCACCTAACGCTACAGACCAAACAGCATCATATGCAAGCGGAGCTTCCTGATAACCTTCAGGATACCGATTGTTATCGATGTCATAGCCATCTTCCTTCAACATTTTATTCAATTTTAGCCTAAAATCTTCTGACGTCATACCGCTGATAGTTGTATCATTATTTTGATTCCACATAAGAGCCTCAGTTGTCAAATGGCCTTCAGCAGCTTGTCTCATTTGTTCTTTAGTACAAGCGATATTCTCTTTATCAAGATTCATCTCAAACCAATTGTCCTCATACCAACCGATGAAAAACCAAACATAACTTTTCCCATAAAGATTATGACGATATAACTCGCATAGTACTCTCCTAGCAGCTACAACATAGAAAAGACCAACGACTATTCTTGCATCTTGTCTACGTAGATTTCTCACAGCATCTGAAGGATCAGAGAGAAAGCTTTGACGAGTGACTATTTCTATTCCTGCTTCTTTACACCGTGCTTCTAGGTCTTCTACTGTCTGCATTATTGAACAAAAGGTCATAATATAATATTAAATAATTATCAAAGAAAATAATTCAAGAAGAATAGAAATAAACTGACAGAAATGAACACTTCTTCGGCTTGCTGAAGTATGGCGACTCGTGACCAGCCAAATTTTTGTAAAAGTTTGATTCTCGTAGGATTATGCACGGTGGCGGATGGATGTGTCCTGAACAAAGTTGGGAATCGATTTCTGTCTGACAGAGCTGGCGATGAAGCACCATAACATAGCTAAACACACAAATAATTTATTTCATTATTTTTCTTCATAAATTTCGAAGACATAAATTACTTACGACAACCAAATTCCACATTTTCGCAGCTTCAGCAACAGTGGTACAAACTGTACTACATCCAGCTAACAACATTAGTTTTTGGGGCTTGTAATACAGCAGATTGTACATTACCGACGCACCAAGGCCAGGTTCGCACTGAAAAGAAAATACAATAAATTAACAAAAGGTATATTTAATTATAAACTATATATCTCATTCTTACCTCGCTGTCATTAGAATGCAATTTCAGAATGAAACCAGGTAACAAATTCTTCTCTCGATTAACATCATCCAATGCCAAATCTACGGCTGGTTTACAAGCCTAATCACGAATACATTAACAAATCATTATACTTAATTTAAAAATACAAAATTTTAAAATAGAATAACATTAAAGAAGCATTTAAAATTTGTAAAAAAAAATTTTTCACTTACCTGACCACCTTGCCAACCACCCTTTCCGTTAATTGGGAAAATACCACCAATGTGAAGGACATTGTCATTTTCATCAGGAGGTTCTAACGAATCTATGAACGTATTAGTTAATATTAAAACGGAAATGATTAGGACCAACATTTTATTGCTGTAATTTCCTTTTATTATTTATCCTTTCGTATTTTTTTTTTTTTAAATTATCATCCCTACGACACGCTGAATGAACGCGACTTAGAAAGGTGGACTTTTTTTATAGTCTTCATTCTTTTCTTTACACCAAACAACCCTGTTTCGATCTCGATTAAGAAGAAGGCTTTTTTTTTGTCACCCCCTTTCGAAGAAATATTTTTGGCAACTATTTTTTTCCACGTTCTCGCACAATACGATCAATTGAAAAATTGACAAGAAATGACTTTGTGCGAACACACGATCATTATCATAAGAATAAAATGTTTATCGAGCTAACGACCATCTCAATGTCCGAGTTAAAGTCCATTTAATGGAAGATGGAAGTTTCGCGGGAGCTTTCATATTGATTCCATCCCGGGACTTGAAAATTGTAGTGGGGATGAAGGGTGGCTCTCAAGAACGCTCGTACATAGGGACCCTATAGGAGGGACGCGCCATGTACATTGCTAGGCTGAAAATGTGGGGGTACAGCTTCCGTTGCATCGCGCAGCCATGTTTATCTTTAGTATGTATTAACGGCTGTGGTTAGTTTAAGTTTGGAATACTTATAGTTTTTATTGTGATATTTATATTCAAATTGTTTTGTTTTATTTAGTAGTATTCTATAAGTGTAAGTTTAATTTACTCATTTAATAATTACAATTATAAATATACAAACTTAACCTATAACTTATCGTTTGAATCATTCGCGCTTAATCACGTGACTACATGAGTTCCTATCCCCCAGCAATGTACATGGCGCATCCCTCCTATAGGGTCCCTACTCGTACAGTTTTCACCCTCTCTCTCTCTCTCTCTCACTCTCAAGTTAAAATCGATAAGAAAGTTACAACAAAATAAATCATACTGTAATTTCTCATTTAAAAGTTACTTCCTTTTTTTATATTAAATTGTAAGCAAATAATCAGTAGATTTAAAATTTATTCATTTTAGTATATTATTATATAGCTCAGTCGGTAATGCAGAGTTTCGGTAGAGGTCTCTCATGAAAAATCCCACGTGCTATGAGTTAGTTATGTTTATAATTTAACGCGATACTCTTACACCATCTGCACATATTACTTTTCTTAATAACATTGAATTATTTAATTTCCTTTTTTTCGTTAAATTGTTAACGTTGTTGATAAGTTCACATTTAATAACATCATAGTTAATGATGCACTCGTGAATTCGTCGCCAGTTTACTAAGAGAGTATTGTTTATAATAATAAAAGTGTATTTTTTATTACTGGATCAAAAAAATGTCTTCGCAACGTGCATTGCCACAGAGTAAAGAAGCCTTGTTAAAATCATATACAACACGATTGAAGGACGATGTTAAATCAATGCTAGAAAATTTCGAAGGTTCGTCTTCCTAACCTCAATTTGTCAACTAATTTTTGTTACTTGTTCTTCTTTATCAGTTTTGAACATTTTGTTTGTGTAAATTCTATTTATCTTGTAATTATATATCTAACTTTTATGAGGAGTTTTTATTTACTTCCTAACCTCAATTTGTCAAATAATTTTTGTTACTTGTTGTTCTTTATCAATTTT